CCATCCATGCATCCATCCATGCATCCATCCATCCATCATCCATCCATCCATCCATCATCCATCCATCCATCATCCACCCATCATCCATCCATCCATCCATCATCCATCCATCCATCCATCCATGCATCCATCCATCCATCCATCCATGCATCCATCCACCCACGCAGATATTTATGTTTGTTTGTCTATATGTACATATATAGGTACATGTGTATACATGTAAACATGCATGAACACTTGTGGAGTTGACCGTGACAGACGGTTGGGCCTGGCCAGAGTGTGGGTGTATGAATGTTTGAGTGTATACGTGTCTGTGCCTACCTGCCTGTATACAGCATTGCAATTCTCTCCTTTCCTTCTTCTCTGGTTCACAACTTAGCCGAGAGGCTTCTGGCTGACTCAGCAGAGAAAGGAGCACTAGAAATAAATCCTTTCACTCAGCTCCCTGCTGCTGAACAGCATGTGCTAATTGCCAGATATCAGCGCTTATTTAAGCATAAAGAGTTAAATAAAGCACAGAGAGTGATAAGGCTTAATAAAGCATAGAGAGAAAAGAAGCCAGCATTTTTCAACCATAGACTAAGCAAGAAAGTTCTCAGCAAGCATTCAGTGTCATCAGAGAGCTACAGAGACCATCAGTCTTTAAAGCCACATCAATGCTATGTCCCACTTCAAGCCCACTCCAGGCCGAGCAGGCTCCGGCACACTGGGACAGCTTTTGTGAGCTTTCCCCTGAGCTGGTGTGAGTAGCTTCAGGAAACTCACTGGCTCACCATGGTGTCCTATGAGGGGTGAACAGATGTTTCTGTATATCCCCCAGGAAAATCCACACAGCAAATCAGAACCTGACTGCAGACACACAGACTCAGTAGAGTCTTGGAGAAGCAGCTGCACTGCCTGTTGTGGGTAATCAGAGCCGTTGGCAACTGAGGCTGAGCTGTCTGAAGCTGGAGTCTGCGGGGACAAGCTTACTATGCTTGTCCTCGTGTGGCATAGACTGGCATGTGTTTTTACAGGATGTCCTGAAAATGGCACTCAATCAGAGAATATGGTACATGCTTCAGGTAGCACACGGGACAGCACTAGCAGCTGGCCACAGCGCTGCATGTCGGCTGGCTACTTGCTGGGGATGGAGGAGACGATGTCCGTGAGCCTCTGTGAGAACTTGCTAAGACCCTTCCTATCCACAGACAAAGGAAAAGCGATGACATGGACTGTGCCTCACAAGAGGAAGTGACCCAGTAATCCCAGGAGCCTCTGAAGGATGATGACAAGGGGGTGCTGCTGATCCTCTGCCTGCTGCCATGGAGGAATGAATGGACATGAGGTGGAAATCACCCCAATCACCTCTTTCCAAGAGGCCTTCAGAGGCCATGCTCCTCAGTAAAAAGGTCTCATATCCTTTTAAGCAACCTAGAAAATTGTTGTACAAACAGGCAATGAGCAGTTAAAGGGTGTGAAAGCAGAAGGCAGCCTACCCCAGGAACCATAAGGGTACTACTGGAGGAAAACTCCAGTGCCAGGAGTGTGCTGCCTCCCTATAGTCTGTCGACCGCCCACACCACACACATGTTGGTTGCATGCCAGAAGCATGTGGTAAGTCCCTACTGCTAATGACACCACATGCTGTGGTCAAAGGTCATGGAGGGATGCAGCTGGGGTGCTTCCCATTGGCTGCCTTAATACAGCCAGGCCTGCTATGCAGGATACAGGGGAGAACTGTCACAAATGGTCCTGCACAGCCATGAACTCTGCTTGCTACACTGCAATGTGCCAGGCACAAGTTCTATGGTACAACCAACTGCTTTCTGACAGGGTTAAGGCCCACTCTACAGCAGAGAACTCAGGTGAGCTGGAACAAGACCCGTAGTGATGACATCATGGGCCCCAGCGGGGAGGTGGCTGCCCCGTTTTCTTAAATGATGTCCGCAGACTGTCTTCTAAGCATTTGTGTTCACGTCTCTAGATTACTGCTGTTGTGAGCTGTGGTCAAGGGAGCCTTCCTTTCGTAACGAGCACCAGTTACTTCAGAGGCTCCTAGCACTTGGGCCAGAACACCGGGGGCACACTCGTGTACTGCTGTGACATGTGGAAAGGTAAAGTTAATATGGCTGTTAACCTCAAAAATACCTTGTACTTAACTTTCTCTGGATCTTGGCTAAGTGGAAAAGACTGTGTTTACCCTTTAACTTTGTCTGCTGAGCCAGATAAGGGACAGAAGAGGGAGGTGCAGCCGTCAGGAAGAGACAGCCTAACCAGCGCCATGGCCGTGGATGGTGCCCGTGAACCAGCTGCTAGGTTCACTCAGCCCTACATGACCCTTGTGTGCTGGCTCCCATCGATGGAGCATAAACACGTTATGAGGATGAGACGACCCTCGTGGTGGAGAGGTCATGTGCACTGCAGGAAGTGAAGTCAGGGGTGGGGACACTCTTCAGTGATCCAACTGACAAAGAGTCAGCCATAAGTAACTAACACAGTAACTGCTGTGTCGGACTCAGAGGATCACAATCAACATCCCAGCTGGGGACAAGGGATAGTTCTTTGTTTCCCAGGAGAAGTGCAGTATGAAATGGCCAGTAGCAAGGCTTCCCAGCAGTCCTGAACTCAGACAGTCAAGCCATAAATAAGTTATGGTCTATGTAAGCATGTGTATGGCAGAAGGCAAGCCAGCACGGAGAGCACGGGCCACATACAGGACTGCACTTACACGGAGCTTCAGCAACGAGTGCTGTGAGCACCAACACAGTGGGCCTGGGTTGCCTGAGTGACAGCCAAGGAGACTGTGGCTGACACAGCCAGTCACTCTGGGCCATAGCACGGACTTCTCTGCTCTCCTGACTTTTCCTTTGGAGTTTCCAAGATCTGGGCTGCCATGCTTTGGTCTTTTTCTCTAAAGCTAGGTGTGCTAACTGTGCCCTTGTGCTTAGCACCTGACTTGGCCGAGCAGTCACCTGTGAGCGGCCATGGCCCATGCCCAGCTCCTGACCTGCCTGCAGTGGTCGCATCTGGTCAGCATGAGGCAGTGTTTCCAGTAGTGGAGGTCCAGGCCCTCTTCTGTGAAGGATTCGTTCCTCTCCCCACAAAAGATACATAGACTACAACAAAACAGAAAAGATGGAAGTGAAGGCCAGACACTGGCTACTGTGACCACACAACCATGACTGCAGTGGACCCAGGATTCTCTGGGACCCTTCTGTCCTGAAATGCCTGGCACTCCAAGGGCAGACTGCACCACCTGGGAAGGACAGCATGGCTCAGGGGTAGTGCTCAGTGCCAGGAGAAAGGGGCTCACCACGCAGGATAAAGAACTTAAGACCCCTCTGGTGTGAGCCTTGCTGGCACAGTCCTACTGTGGGTGGCATAAGCCACAGAAGAGCTGGAGGACAGCTCAGTCCCTTAAAGACTGGACCTGCCCCTGGACACTGAATGTCACTATTTGCAGCAGGATGCCCAGGGTGACTGTTGCGGGGTGAAGAAGGGGCTGTGGCTGAGCCTGGCCCAAGTCAGTGTGCAGCAGCTTAGGGCAATCTTCAGGCTTTGGGATCGGGGAGAGGGGTCCAGAGTCAGCAGAGTGAGCCAGGGAGCCGCTTGCCCAGAGCCTCTCCATGCCTCCCACACATGCAACAGAACCAAGTGACATCACTTACTTATCCAAATAGTGGTTATCTGGGATTTCTGGAGTGTCAGGTGGGGCAGCTTTCCTTCCTTGAGGGTCTGAGGAGATTAAAAGATTAGGTAACATTTGGTTGAAATGTTTAAAGTTTCAGTAAAAAATAGTCATTTTAAAAAATGTCATTTAAAAAATGGCATCCAGTGGTAAGGCATCCAACATAACATTCGCATCTAATTCGGGCTGCAGAGCCAAGAGAAGGTTTTTTTTCCTTTCTCTTCTATGTTAGGGGTTGAACCTGGGACCTTGCCCATTGCTTGCACTGCCACGAGCTGCACCTGCAGCCCCTGGTTCCTGAGCCTCACTATGGAGTTCAGAGCTGTCTCAAACTTGCTACTGTGCTTTGAGTGACAATGGTCGTTACAGGCTCATGTGTCAGAATGCTTGGTCCCCAGTTGGTGGAACTGTTCAGCAAGGATTAGGACATGCTGCCTTGTTGAAAGAGGCATGTCACTGGGGTTGGGCTTTCCAGTCTGTCTGCCTGTACCCGTGGATCAGATGAGCCCTCAGCTACTGCTTCAGTACCATGCCTGCTTGCTGCCATGCTCCTGCCATGATACTCATGGGCTCACACTCTGAAACCACAAGCCCCAAATAAACTTTTTCTTCTATAAGTTGCCTAGGTTATGACATCATAGCAATAGAAAAGGAACTAAGACACATGCCATCCACCACTTCACCCGCCATTCCCCAGGGTCATGAGTGTGGCACTTGGCCTGGTAAAGGAAGTGCTTTTGTTTTGTTTGAGTCAGAGTCTTGAACTTGAAACCTGGTATATAGACCAGGCTGGCCTCAAACTCACAAGAGACCTTCAGTCTCTGAAAGCTGGGGTCAGAGGTGCATGCCACCACGCTCAGCAAAGCCATGCTTCCAGTGTTAAAGTGCCCTGGTGGGAATTTGCTCACCTTGATTCTTGATTTTCAAAGCCTCGTTCTCCTTCTCCTTCTCCTAAGACACAAAGGGGAAAAGGTCAGGAGCGAGCTGTGGCGTGCATGCAGCCCCTGACGGGAGAGGAAGCAGCAGCTCCGGTGTGTCTGCTGTTTCCCATGGGCTCCTCTCACAGTGGCCTTTGTGAGGAGGCCTGGGGACCTTCAGCCCTTCTTGGGAAAATATATCTAGACATGTTTGCTGCTTTTCCACGTCTTGTTTTTTCCCGTTTGTGTAGAGAGCAGCATGTGAGACCTCTGCCCCTCTCTCAGCATCCTTGGGCTGTGCAGCAGCTGTGGTCATAGACACACAGAGTGACAGCGTGAGCCTTGGTGCAAGCACAGAGCTCAGAGGACCTCTCTGAGGAGTCGGTTCTCCACTTACCATGTGGGTCCCAGGGACTGAACTCAGGTCATCTTGCCTGGCAGTGAAGACCCCCGCACCATCTTGCCTGACCTCCCACTGACTTCAGGAACTTAACTGCACAATTAATGGTCTGAAAGTAACTCCAACCTATAAGTACGATGCACAGGAGAGTTTCTACTCTACACAGAGCCTGCTCCCACCGAATGCCCAACAGCCCTCAGAGAGGCCTCACATTCAGTGCCTGGTGGATCTCCTTGCATGACTGAGATCACCCCTTCAGCTGCAGGCCGACCTTTCAAGGCTCACAGCAGCGGCAGAGTGGGCTAGTAACTGACATGGGACACCCAGGCCCAGTCAGGCTTCTTTTATTCATTCCACAACCAATCCCGAAAGAAAGTACAGGGTCCACCTGCACTGCTGG